AAAATTTCGAGTCACCCGAAATGGTTTAGTCATGACCTCGTTAACATGAAAAATAGACTCAATACAAAGTACAAATTCATGAGATCCAGGCGTACTGTTGAAGCTAGAAAGCATGCAAAGGAAGAACATTCCGAACTAAGAAAAGAGTACAAAAAGAGCGCACGTTTGGCTTATAAAAATTACAAACTTGAAATGGAACAACTTATTAACGAGGACCCACAGAGATTTTTCGAATTTGTAAATAATTCCAAAAAAAGGCATGATGACATTCCTAATGTAATGATGTTTGGAGACAATGAGAGCGGTAACCGTGGTGAGATAGCTGAATTTTTTGCAACACATTTTGCAAAATCGTATTATCAATAGTTGCTAAACACCTTAATTATCACATGAAACATATCATTGATGAGAGTCAACACGGATTTTTGAAAGGAAAATCTACAACCACAAATTTGGCTGAATTTGTATCGTGTGCAATTTTGGGCATGGAAAACAAAGTACAGACTGATGCAATTTATTTGGATATTGCGAAGGCCTTCGATTCGGTCAATGTCGATTTACTGATCCGCAAATTGAATATTATGGGATTGAATCAACAGTTGCTCAAATGGATTGAATCGTATTTGCATGGGCGCCAACAGATTGTCAAACTGAATAATGACATGTCGAGCCCCATTGATGTTACATCGGGAACAGGACAAGGATACCCGATTGGTGCTACATTGTTTCTACTGTTCATCATTGATTTGCCAAAACACGTCAGCAACTCAATTCTTCAGTCATTCGCTGATGACACTCGCCTGTGGAAACACATCGAACATTATGATGATTGTCTGGAATTACAAGCTGACCTAAATAGGCTTGTAGAATACTTCAAAAGAAATCAGCTGAAGTTGAATGTATCCAAGACCAAATTTGCGTCTTTTCATCGCGCGATCTTAAAATTTAACTTCGAATATTCCATTGGCAACGAAAAAATTGATCGGGTCCACGTGATAAAGGACCTAGGAGTAATACTTGACCATAAATTGAATTTTAACGCACATATTGAGTACATTACAGCCAAAGCGAAATCACGTTTAGCATGGATTAAACGGTTTGGATATGAATTTGATGATCCATGGACCATAAAGAAATTGTTTTCCACATTTGTATTGCCGATTGTGGAATATGCTTCCCAAGTTTGGAATCCATACACCGCTGAAAAGATTGCACGAATTGAATCGATCCAGAAGCAATTTTTATTGTTCGCTCTACGCAAAATGAAATGGCCACAAAGATTCAGGAAACCACCGTACGAATGCCGACTGCTTGAATTACAAATGATTACGCTGGAAGAACGAAGAAAAATAGCCCAAATATCACTCGTCCATAATGTGATTGGTGGTCATACGTCATCGAAATACATTTTGAGCAAAATTAATTTTAAAACACCGCGACATTGGACGAGAGACTCAGATTTTCTACTATTGCCGATGCATCGTAATAATTATGCCAAGTTTGAAACTATAATTTATATGCTGAGTACATACAACGAATTTTATAAATACTTCGTTCCTATCAAGCCACCAAATTTTCCAAATGAATGTAATATTACTTTGATTCCGAGTTGTGATACTTATTTAATTGATTTCAATGCAAGTACAAGTACTGTAAAACAGAGAGTAGCTGAATATTTTAAGAGAAACCGAATTTGGAGAAATT